CCAAATAAACCTTTTCTCTTGAAGAAGTGCATATCTCCGATATTGTTACAGTAATGGGAAGCTGGCTAGACACACTGACCAACTGCTCAAACCCAGATGGTAGCCCAGTGCTAAGAAACAAAGGTGCAGGTAGCCCAGGGAAAGGAAGAGGTCTCTCCAGCTCCAAAACAAAGTGTGGTGACTCTACCTCATACCATATTCCAGCTGGAAGGCAGCTAGCAGCAGCAAAGGTAAACAAAAGAAGCTTTTAGAAGGGAGTATTTTCACTATCTGGCAGCATGAAAAGTTACACAGAACCCAGCTCCAACCACAGATATTGGTAATTTGGATTACATTAAAATTAAGGTATTCTGAGGCTGGAGAGATGGCTCAGTGGTTAAGAGCACTGGTTGTTCTTCTAGAGGACCCAGGTTCAATCCCCAGCACCCACATAGCAGCTAACAACCATCCATGACTCCGGTTCTAGGGGACCCTATGCCCTATTCTGGCCTTGGCAGGCACTTACATACATGCAGACAAAACACTCATACATATAAAAAAATCAATAAAAAAATTAAAATTAAGATCTTCTGTTTGTCCAAAATCATTGCTAAAGAATTTACAAGGTAATGCCCAGATGAGTGTCACTATGCACAGGGCACTTACCCAACACAATTCAGAATGTAATTTTTATTTCTCTTTATGTGTGTGGATGTTTTGTTTGCATGTTTGTAAGTACACCTATGTGTGCAAAGCTACAGAGGACAGAAGAGGACATTGAATACCCTGGAACTGGAGTTAGGGATAGTTGTTAGGCACCATGTGGGTGCTGGGAATCGAATCCAGGTCCTGTGAGAGCAGCCAGTGCTCTTAACCGCTGAGCCATTCTCCAGCCTCATAGAATGTATTTTAAGCACTCCTGCTAATCATTAAAAATACTCTAAATAAAAAAATAGACAAAAGACCTGCATATTTTATCAACTAGGAAATAAAAAATACGTTAGTCACCAGAAAAATAAAAATTCTACACATATACTTTTTTGGTTTGTCTTGGTAAGGCAGAGTCTCATGTAGCTCAGGCTAGCCTTGAACTTTCGAGGTAACCAACCTCCCAAATGCTGGAGTTACAGGTGTTTACAACCACACCTAGTTTTAAAAAATATTTTATTTATTTTTATGTATATGAGTGTTTTGCCTGCAAGTATGTAAGTGTGCCAAATGCATACTGTGCCTGGGAGGCCAGAAGAGGATGCTGGATCCCCTGGAGCAGGAGTTACAGACAGTTGTTAGCCTCCATGTGGGAGCTGGGAACCCAACCCAGGTCCTCTGGAAGAGCAACCAGTGCTCTTAACTGCTGAGCCATCTCTCCAGCCCCCACACCTAGTTTTTTAATGCAGTGCTGGGGATTGAATCCAGGGCTTCATGCATGTTCATGCATGTACCAACTGAGCTACATTCCCAGCCCTTACACTAAGACAAAAGGAAATCACAACTGTTAGTGAGGGTAAAGAAACCACTGCCCTTGAAATTACAGGTAGAGGAACAAATTGGAACGCATTTAAGAGTATGCACAAAAGCTAAATCTATGTGAGTTTTGCATGTCTGTTATTGTGTGTGTGGTTCTGGGGATTGAAGCACTACCACACATATGCTAAACACAGGCTGTACTGCTGAGCTATACCCTCAGCCCCAAACATGTCTCAATCTTAGCGATCAATTCTACATACAGGTATTTTCTAAGAGATAAAGACCTGTGCTACAAATGTGCACAGCAGAATAAATCACAATAATCAGTAATGAAACCACCCAAATTCCTATGACCAGCGAGATAAACAAGCCACAGTATGACCACACAGGGATTTTACTCATCATAAGAATAAACAGCCTAGTCAGGTATGGTGGTACATGCCTTTAATCCCAGCACTGGGGAGGCAGAGGCAGGCGGATCTCTGTGAGTTCAAGGTCAGCCTGGTCTACATAGCGAGTTCCAGGCCAGATGGGGCTACAGGGAGACCCTGTCTAAAAAAGACCAAGAAAAAAAAAGCCAGGTGGGTGGCGCACGCCTTCACTCCCAGCACTCAGAAGGCAGAGGCAGGCAGATCTCTGTGAGATCAAGGCCAGCCTGGTCTACATAGCAAATTCCAGGCTCGGTGGGGCTACAGGAAACCCTGTTTTGTTTTTAAAGTTAAATGGGAAGAAAACAAGACCAAGGACCCAAAGAACATAACAAAGTCCATTCTGACTGCCCAACGCAGCATTAACAAAAACACCGAGATGGTAAACTAGGAAGTCAAAGAAGAGTTTTTTAATGGGACTTAAAAAAAATTGAAAACAGAAAAAATAACCAAGGGGGAAAATGGAGATGAAAACATCATTACTGAATTAACAGCTAAAGTAGGAACAGCTGGGAACAATTTACCAAAATCAAAACTCCCAACAAATAGGAAAGGCAGATAATCAGAGAAAGCAGGCCACTAAGCCAAAATGACTAAAGGGGACAGAAGTGAATGTAGGGAAGACACGGCAGGACACTAAGAAAGGGGCAGGCAGGACTCAGTGATGTCCACATTCAAGGCTCACAATCTGTGAGCATGTCAGAGTACATGGCAAAGATCATTGAAGCTCACACATGGAATTAAGGTTGCTTGTAGATAGCCTTCAGATAGAAATACTGTCCCAGACTATCTAGGTGGACACAGGTGTCACAGCATCCTTTAGGAGGAAGAGAGTCCATGTCAGAATGAATGGAAGTAAGGAAGACCCAACTGGCCACCAGTGGCTCTGAGATCAAGGAAGGGGCCGAGAGCCTGGGGCCAGGGTAGGAAGATTCTGGAAGGCAAGAAGCAAACTCTCCCTAGAGCTCCATGTAGAAGCAATGTCCTGCCCACGACTCGCCTTTAGCTCAGCCTCTGTATGGACTCCTAGACCCCAGCACTGTGAGATAATAAATTTCTGTTGTTTGAAGACAATTTGTGGTAATTTGTCATAGCAGCAAACAAGGAATTAAAACAAAAGGAACAGAAGTCTGAATAATGGTCTGGTTAAGCAAGAAACTACAAGACAAAAAAGTTCTTGAGGGCTGGAGAGATGGCTCAGTGGTTAAGAGCACTGGCTGCTCTTGCAGAAATCCCAGCACCCATGTGATGGCTCACAAGCATCTGTAACTCCAGTTCCAGGAGATCCCACCCCCTCTTCTGGCCTCTGCTCTGCAAGCATGCATATGGTGCAGACACACACTGGCAAGCCGAAACACTCATACACCTAAAATAGAAATAAATAAATCTTAAGACATGTTCCTCAGAAATTCATTAAGAAATGGCAAATCACCTATATAGGAAACGAAACCAGTTGACTTGAAACTTCACCTTGGCAACACTCAATGCCAGGAGACGGTGGAACAAGTCAGCAGGCATTGAGGTAAAAGAGCAGTATTGTCTGAGAACGCTGTATGCATCCAAGGCATCATCCAAAGATAGACAATGGACAAATATTATTGGTGCAAGTGACTCAGGAAAGCTTTAGGTCCTTCTGGAACAACTGGTAACAAAAACCAGCCAGTTAAGAGAGAACAACACGATAAAGACTCAGGAGCAGCTATGGGAAAAGGCTTGGTGAGCACTGAATCCATTTAAATGTGCACTAATACTGGACACTCTTTGGTATTATGGCTACAATTCAGAAATGAGTGTCGTAAAGCTCAGCGCTGTGGGAATTGCAGAGTGGGCTTGGGGATGGGGCAGGTGTTTGAAGCTGCAAATGCCTCACCTTCCAAAGCCAGAGCATTGAGAATTTCACTGTGAAACGTGCTGCTTTTAACAAAATAATGACCCCAGCTCCTTCTGCCCTTCCTCCTTCCTCTGAACTCTCTCCCCTTCCCTTCCTCACAGCTTTTTCCAGACAGGATCTCAGGCTGTAGCCCAGGCTGGCCTCAAGCTCATGGTCATCTTTCTCCCTCAGACTCCTGAGTGCTGGGATACAGGTGTGACCCACCACACCCGGTCTGTTCCTCAAACCCTCTTTTCTTTGCCCCTGCAGGAAACACGCTGTAGATCAAAAGCCCACAAGGGGCACATCCTTGGCACTGGCTTCTCCACAATTTCTCAGGCCAGGTCGAAGTCCACACAGTTTTGTGGAAAGCATCTTTTGAATTTAAATCCTCAGTTCTGCCTGTGACACAAAGGAAAGCAAGAGCAGCACAGCCAGCCTTGCTCAGCCCAGGCAGCAGAGTCTGCCCACATGCCTGCACATCCTTCTCCCTGCCCACACCACTCCTCTGCTGTGGAATCACACACCCTTGCTCCGCTTGCCGAGTGTCTTAGTCCTACCCAGCCCTGTGTTTCCGTGAGCACCAGGACCTGAGGACACAGCTGTGGACACAGGCTCTGCTCCCAGGGCAAGCGCTGTCCAGCAGAACTTTGCCCTAAGGGAAAAAGTCTAAATCTGTGCTGTCCAGGTGGGAGTTACTGGTCACTGCACAGAGTTCAACGGCAGCACTGTGGACAACACAGTTTTAGAGCTTTTTAAAACTTGCCCCTGTGGCATTGCAGGGGGCTGGAGATGCAGGGAGCAACCTGTAGGCCCAGAGGACAGAAGGCAGGCCTCAGGACCCGATCCGTACAGGATGGTGGCTTAAGGCCCCTACAAGGACACCAAAAGACACTCAGAGGTCGGCGCACAGCCACAGTCAGGGGGAGGGGTCTGTACATGACTTCTCGGGACCTCCTGCTCAGCTCTGCCTCGCTCTGGGTGTCATCTTCTGCAGCCCCCTTCCTTTGGGGTACAGAGTCTCAAGCTCGGAGGACACAGTGCTCCCTGCCCTGGGGCACTCCAGGGTCCTGCGGCGCTGCCCGGTTCCTCTGGCCGGGGTCACTTAGATCCCCTCCCCCGGAGACCTGCGCGCTAGAACGCGGCGCCACGGGAAGGGTCTGGCCCTGCGGTTCCCACGCACCGCAGCCGGTGCTCCACGCGTGACGCCCGCCCCGGGCCCCCGCGCCTCCCCAGGCTGCGCACGCGCCCCTCACCCGCCGGGTGGCCGTAGGGGGACTCGGCCGCGCCGTCCTGCAGGCTGGCCAGGATCTCGCCCTTGCCCACGTCGCTGTCGCCCACCAGCAGGAACTTCAGCAGGAAGTCGTAGGCCCGCACCGGGCTGCCCAGGGCGCTCATGCTGCCCGGCTGGCCACCGCGCCCATGCCGGCCGGGGGTGCACACGGCGGCCGGTCCCAGCACCACCGGCGGGGATCGCAGCCCGGGTGCCTGACAGCGCCGCGCCCCGCCCGGGCTCGCCATTGGTGCGCCGCAGTTGCTGGGGTGCACGCGCACGCGGATTGGCCGGCGTGACGGTCCATCTGGGGATGCCGGCCGCCCCCGCGCCCGCCGTTCCTCCGGGGAGGACCCGGCCTCCACCGCCGAGGCAGGTCTGGAGGCGGGGAGGGGCGGGGCCAGAAGAGCCAGGGGGCGGGGAGTCCTCGACACAACCAATGAGGGGCGCGGAGGGGCGGGACGAGGGGCGGGGCCGTTTACTCTCACGCGTGCTCTGGCTCCTGGATGGAGAGGAAGGTGTTCGCATCCTCTTTAAGGAAGCTTGGCCCGAACGACCCAGCAGGTGGCCTGGTGACAAGCATTTGCCCCGGGATACAGCAGAGTCTCCTCGGCCCGAGAGCGAGGCCAGCCCATGCACCTGAGTACTCCTGCATGTATCCCTGTGGGCACGTGCGCCTCCACAGGTGTCTGCGCATGCCTGGCTCTAGGTCCCCACAGGTGTCTGTCCATGCATGTCTCTGAACGTGTTCTGTGGTTGATGGAGCGAGTACTTGGTGAGGACCCACCTGTCTTCGACTCTCTTCCCCCCAAGGAGCAGTAGGCTTTAGGACAAGGCCTGGGATCTGCGCTAGGCAGCTCACCAGTGGGTGCTAGGTACTTAGATCAATCCTGGTTTAGTATCCCAGCTCCATCCTCGCACACCCTGAAGTGGGGGTGTCGTACAGCCTATGCTGTCCGCTCTTGGGGAGCACTTCGTGTTTCCATTCGGATTCCAGGAGGCAGGTAGAAAAGAAACAGTGGATGAAAATTACGAAGGCGTTTGTGGACGCTGTTCTGAGAGGAATGGCTGTGCCCAGCTTTCCAGCATCGGAACAAAGCTGTTTTGACTCAGAACAGACTGGGCTCAGAGCAAGGGCCCTGCTGCCTCTCAGCAGGACCATTATGCTTTCAAAGAGTCGATCATAACAGGTCCTAGCTGCAAAACATGAATGCCAGTCTATGATGGGGGATCGTGCTGAGCCATCTCTGACTCAGAACCAGGCTGCCATTGCCTCAAGGCCAGGCTGTTAACCAGGATAAACCCCAGCTGTAATTATTCCAGGGCACTGTGACATCCCAGCACTACCTGTCTGCCCACACAGCAATGCCTCCTGTGAAGGAGCCCCTAAGAATGCCTGTGCCCAGACAGCTTCCTATACTACCTTTCCCTCTGTAGCTGGACCCTGTGGATCCAATCAACTCTCTACTTTTGTCTCCCAGCCTGTCAATGCTGTTCCCGTGGAATGGCGGCATATAAGTTAAGATTTCAGCCAGGTGTGGTGGCTTGCCTGTAATCTTGTGACTGCTAATCTTGTCAAATTGATGGGATCTGGAATCACCTAGGAAACACACTGCTTGGAATGTCTGTGAAGCTGTTTCCAGAAAAGATTAGTTGAGGGGAAGATCCACCCTGAGAGCGGGTGACACCTTCCAACAGGGTGGCCTAGACATTAACAGGTCTGAGCAGCGAGCAGTGTCACCTGCCTGCCTCCGTTTCCTCCTGAATGAGTGTATTGTTGCTACCCTGACATCCTCCACCAACATCAAACTCCAGCTCCCAGCATGGACTGAATACCAGCTGCTTTCCAGGAATCTTCCAGACCTTCTGTCTTAGATTGGGACTGCTGAGGCATCTAGCTTCACAGACTGAGCCGGTCCCAGCCCCTCCATCACGCAGATGACCACCATTGAACTCCCTGGTACCTACTGTGTAAACCAATTTGATAAATCCCCATTTATTAAACATATATACATTCTATTGGTTTTGAAATTTAGAAAATCTAGCCTAATGCAGACTTCAATACTCAAATTGCTTTTTAACTTTTTAAAATTATGTTTTTGAGACAGGGTGAGGCAGAATTGTTTGAGGCTATCCTGGTCTACCTCGTGATTTTGAAGCCAGCCATGACTACACAATGAGACTCTATATCAACAAACCCAAACCAAGCAACCCCTCCTCCTCCTACACACAAGATTTTTACCTCTGTCACTTGCACTCATTAGATTTCATTTATTATTATTTAAAAATTTTATGTGTATGGGTAGCTGTCGTGTGTGTGTGTGTGTGTGTGTGTGTGTGTGTGTGTGTGTGTATACCTGTAGAAGCCAGAAGAGGGCATCAGATCCCCTGGAGCTTTCTGAGTTACAGGTGGTGATGAGTTGCCTGGGAGCCATCAAACTCGGGTCCTCTGGAAGAACAAGTGCTCATAACCTCTGAGCCATCTCTCCAGCCCCTCATTTGGATTTTCACTTTGTTTTGCAAACTTACTGATTTCTGACTAATCAGCTGATTGAGGTGCTGGTGAAGTCACTATTTTTAAAAAGAAGAGGGATCTAGGGATATGGGTCAGGTAGCAAGTACTTGCTTAACATGCACAAAGTTCTGGGTTTGATCCCTAACACTGAATAAACTGGGCCTGATGACAAACACCTGTAATTCCAGCAGGTGGCTGCAAGGAGGTCAGAAGTTCAAGGTCATCCTTGGGTACCTAGCAAGTTTGAAGCTGGCCTGAGCTATAAAAGACGCTGTCTCAAAACAAAAACAGACGTCGGAAGATGAAAACGTAGATTCTGTCCCCACTCCCACCCCACCTCAGTCCTCACAGGCTGATCAGCTGTGGGTCCCTAGCCACTCCCTCAGGCAGGACACTTTCTTCTCTGAGCTCTTGGCCCTGCATAGCCTCAGGTAGGGGAAAGGTGACCAACCCTCAGTGCACCCTCAGGAATTATACACAACAGTCTATGCAGCCCCTTCCTGCTGCCGGCACAGAGCCTGACCAATTCCTGGAGGGCACGATACATACCACCTGCCTGCTTTTCTCCTGGTGTTTCTCATCATCTCATGGCAGTCACCGCCAAGCTGGTCTTGACTTAGCTAGAACCCAGTTTGTGGTAGATTGAATCCACAGTGCAAATTCCACAGATACAGAGGGCCAGCTGAAAGACCAGAAGAGGCCTACAGCCACATGTAGAGGTCCAGGTTCTGCCCTGAGATAAATATGGGGCCCACCAAACAGCACCCTCACCCAGCATGGATGCTTATTTCATAAGCCAAGAAATACAGGGCTCCCATCCACAGAGCCAAACACTTCCTGAAGGACACCCTCCCAAACCCATGACTTCAATACTTGTGTGATGCCCAGGCAGCATGCAAAGGTACGGCCACCACTAGCACATCTGCTCAACTCAAGGCTGTGCTTCCAGCTCTGCCCACCTCCGGTTACTGGAAAATTCCTCCCTGATCATTTGCCTATGTCCTAGTCTTCTCTGGGAAGCAGGGGTCAGAACAACAGAAGGGGAGACCGCTGCTTCTCATGGATGGAACGTTACAGGGGACAGTCACTGGCCTTTACTGGTCTTGACTGCTGCTCATGTGTCTCATCAGGGCCCTGGTTCACGACACAACCTCATCAGGGCTCAGGAAATCCTAAATAATTCACTAAACAACATTCCTAAAGTTGGCTTGTTAGATTGGGTCTAGGCATCTAGGTTGGGCCTAGGCCTCTATATGCTCTTGAGAGAAACAGTTTTTAGAAGCCAGAGTCTTCCTTTTCTGAAAGCCAGGGAGAATTCCTTCTTCACACACTTGATTCATGTCAAGTAGAGGCGGAGGCAACACCTAGTGGCATCATGAGTCCAGAAAAATGGTACATGCAGGCTGAGCCATCGCTCCAATTTCATTAACTACTTCAAGCTTCCGATATTTTAAAAGAATGCTATTGTTTATCCTGATGCTGAATAGTCCTGTTCAGCCTTGCCTATAACAGTGAAACACTTGGGATGAAGGCTCACTCACCATGTTTAAATGGATCCTCCAAAAAAAATGGTGAAATTCTGACCCTGAGGCTCTGTGAATGTGACCTTATTTATTTATTTATTTATTGAATGTGACCTTATTTAGAAACAGTCTTACATGGGTAATCAAGTCACAAGATGGACTCTAAGTCAATGTAACCATGAGAGGGTCTCGGAGGCCCCTTGTGGTCCATGGACCATGCTAAGATCTAAGCACCAGTCTTCCCGTCCATCCACTGACTGTAACCATAGTGATGAGACCTCAGCATGGGGCACAAGGATTGGAGCTTTACAAGGGCACTGGAATCCAAATCCCTTCTCAAGGTCTGCCACTGTGTCTCCCACAAGCCCTGATCATGTGACACAGCAGCTCCCCCCAGGTTTTCTGTTAGTGCTTCAGAAATCGTGTGTAAATTCACCTCAGTGTTTCCCTAGGAGGGAAAAGGGAAGGGTATTCTTTTTTGTTCTTTCAAATTGCATCTTAAATGATAATGTGTTTTTCATTTTTAAATTAATTAATGTAAACAGCAGAAGTACAAATTGAAATTGTCTTTTTCCATGCTAGCTCAGGGCCTTACACATGCTAGGCAAGCACTCTACCACTGAGTCACATCTCCAACCCAACAAGACCTACTTCTTATAGACACCTAGAATGCTTTCTAATGGAGAAGGCTGAGGGGCACATGGTGGGAATAGCTGGGCACAGCCAGCTTGGGAGTGCCAGGGTCCTGCCTGCTCTTCTGCCCTGGCCTCAGACACCAGCTTCCTCCTGAAAGAGAACACCTGGCTCCTGGTTTTGCCCTCTGGATAGAGAGTGCCTTGATTTGCTTCAAGCTTCAATCCAAAAGTCCCATTAAGGAGTCACTGCGCTAATCGGGATCTATGTGGGCCTCAGGGCCAGTTATCTGGGGGCACTCTGGCAAGAAACCGAAGGGAGGACTTTGTCATGCTTGGGCCCCTGCATCCTCTGAGTACCCGTAAATGAAATTCCTACCCAAAGACATGGGTCAGTGCTGGACTGGCAAGGCCCAGGATAGAAGAGGTCCAGGGTTGGACAAGGCTTGCTCTTGAGTGAGCTACAGAACGAGCAGTCAGAAGTGCTCAGTGATGAGAGGTAGAAGGGAGCAGCATCGTCCCAGGTGAACCAGAACCTAAACTTAA